GTACCGGAAATCGAACTCACGACCTTGCACTTGCCAGGCAGGCACTTTTGCCACTGAGCTAAATCCCCAGCTCCCAACATATACCTTCTTCATCAGCTAAAACACAGCCAGAAGGACTGCTCTCTCCTGGATTATAAATTTCATTCAACTTGGCGATGTTATTATGTTGTATACTTTTTAAAAAAGTTTCCCGGCCCTTTTTGATCTTCCAGGTATTCTTTTAATTAAAAAGAAGTAATACAGGGCTGGGGATGTGGCTCAGTGCTAGAGCTCTTGCCTTGCATGCACGAGGCCCTGGGTTCAAACCCCAGCACCACATACATTAAAAAAAAAACAAAACCAAAAAATAATACTAAATAAATAAAGGTTTAAAAAACTTAGATAAAAAGAAGTAATACATTTACATGGTAAAATACTTAAAATTATCCAGGTAGTTCAAACTGGTATACAAAGTACTTCTAGCCTATGTCAAACACCTAGTTCTCTTCCCAGAAGCAAGAATTATTAGCAAGCTTATCTACAAAGGATATACATACATATATCTTTTTCTAAATCACACAGCAGGATGCTAATATATTCTTTTCATACTGTACTTTATCTGATTTTTTTATAGGCAAAATTTTAAGTGATATTTATAAAGGGCAAGGCCTATTTAAACCATTTTATTTAAAAATTACTAAAAACTATAACAGTTTATAAAATTTAAAACATAAAAACATCCAACCTTTTCTGGTGTTAACTTCATAAGTTCCATATTTTCCATGCTGTGTCGGCGTCCCAGCTTGGGGCGTGTACCTTTGTAAAAACAAAAATTAGTTCAGGTAAACCAGGAGGTCCTTAAGGGTACACATTCAGCATAATTCTTTTTTTTTTTTTCTTTTTTGAGACAGGGTCTTGCTGTGTAGTTCAGACTGGCCTTGAACTCACTATGTAGCCCAGATCGGCCTCGAGCTCACAGGGATTCTCCTGCCTCTGCCTCCTGAGTGCTGGGATTATAGGTGTGTGCCACTACACCTGGCATACATAATTCATTTCTAAAGTCTGATGATCATTTTGGAAATCTAAAATGTACCAATAAAATCTTATTGGAAGAAAAAAGTCTGGTATACAGACTTTCCTCTTATGAAAGGAAGAAACACAAGCAATATGTGTTTTTTAAAGGATATTTTCCACACCAGCTACATAAAAATATGCACTCCCTCTACAATGCTTTGATGTAAAGAAGCTACAGTTTGGTTGGAAACTCATCTTTGGTTACTGACATTACTCTTTAATTTAGAAAGGTATTTTATAATAACTGGTTTAATACTATCCACACAGTCTCAAGAAAACCAAACAAACCATAGAGTGGTTTCAGCAAGTAAAAACATAAGGAGAAGGCTTCAGGCTTTCAATTTTGAGAAAAGAATAAAAATAACGACCCATGTACTTGATTGTTACTCCTTTCCAATGTACCCGTTTCTTAAGATCTCCTTAGATGGTGAGTTTTCTGCCAGTTAGGAAACAAGCTAAACAAAAAGCAACAGTTCTTAACATTTTTTCAATAAAGCTACAAAATAAGTTGTCCAGGATGGCCTCACACTTACAGTCCTCCTGCCTCAGCCTCCTCAGTAGCTGGGATTACAGGTGTGCCCCACCATGCCTAGCCAGCCAAATACTCTTAAATGGAACATTTTCATTTAATAGAATTACTAATTTATTTGGGCTCCTTTACTATGTTCACTGGTGCATTACATTCATTAGTTTTCTGATACCGAAACCATCTCAATTCCTATTTGCTTTAAAACACACTGGTAGACTTGATTTACTATTTTTCTTAGGGTTTTAAAATTTAATTTCAGCCAAGTGTGATGGTGTACACCTGTAATCCCAGCACTCAGGAGGCTGAGGCAGGAGGATCATTGGGAGTTCTAGACCAGCCTGGGCTACAAAGTGAGCTCAAGGCCAGCCTGAAGTGCGTAGCGAGACCCTGTCTCACAAAGACAAAAAAAAATTATGTTCATTGGTAAAGCTGGCCTACTCTTTACCTTACTTGTCTTACTCTTGTCTAGTATGAATATCAAGGTTACGTGTTTCTCAGGAAGACCGATGAAGTAGTCCCACATTTCCAATTACCTATAAAACATTGTTTACGGTTACACAGATAGTCCCTGACTTAAAATGGTTTGACTTAGGATTTTTTGACTTTACAATGATGTGGGAACTCTCCACCTTCATAGAAACTACTGTGAATTCTGATCTTCTGCCCGCAGGGAAATGCAGGACACTCTCCTGGATGCCGGGCAGCGGCAGCGAGAAGCAGCTCCCCGATGGCCGTGCAACCGCGAAAGTACACAAACGTTGTCTCACAGGGTACCGTGTGGCCGGGCTGTGACAGCCGGGAGTTAGGTATATTAAACGCAATTCTGACTTAGGCTTTCTAAACTTATGTGGTTTATCACAGTGTAACCCATGGTAAGACCGGGAGCATCCACGGCAGGTCTTTTGAATGGTCGGTACATCTCGCTTGTACAACCATCTGGGCCAGGTGAATTTACTTACTGATCTAATTTCCTTCTGCAATCTTATATTTCTCAAGAAATCAAAATTTCTCCTAGGCTTTCAAATATGTGGTCAGAAAACTGTTAGTCACTTATCTTTTTAATCTCTGCATCTATATTATACACACACACACCGCCCCCGTCCTGGAGATTGAACCCAGGGTCACTGAGCTGCAGCCCCAGTCCTTCCTCCTTTCCATTCTGCACCTTATGTGGCCTGACTGCTGTTTCTCCGTAGAAGCACTTCTAGCCCAAAACACCTTCATGGACTGAGTTTCTTAGCTCAAACTCCAAACCAGTACGTAAGCACGCGTATGAACTCAGGCTCTTAAAGATGCCCCCTGCCTTTTCTACTGAGCCAGCGTGAGAAGTAGACAAGTGTTCTTGTAGCTCCTGTTTCCCTAGCACTATGGATACAGCCACCAGCAAGAGACAAAAAAGAACACTGCAACAATACCCTGTCCTTGGGGCCTGACTGAGCAAGCAGGGAAGCATTAGGAAAAGAGCTGGAAGAGGCAGAGGGAGGCTGGGCCTGGCAGCGCTGGTGGAAACAAGCTCGCTCAAGGCGTGCTGAGCAGTCGCTGGAGAGACCCGAGCACGGGAATGACATGATTTACACTGTAAAGGAGCACCTGGCTGTCGTGTGGAAACGGGGTGTGAGGAGGCAAGGCTGGAAGTGAGAACGTGCACGGCTCTTCCCCTGGAGACACAGGCGGCAAGCTCTGAGATGGGCATGCCCTCTGCAGGCAGGCTCTTATGGGCAGGATGCAGAAATGAGTGGAAGAAAGGGAGCAAGCATGACACCTAGGTTCTTGGCCTGAACACATGAACAAACGTGGTACCACTTCCTGAGACAGGGTAGGGTGAAGGAGGTGTGTGTCCGGGAGGAACATAGTTTGGACATGTTCCGTGTTGGATGTCAATTAAACATGCAAGTGGAAATGTCATAAATATGAGTCCCAGACTCAAGAGAAAAGAGAAACATTATGACTAGAAACAAGAATGTGAAATTATCAGCATTTAGGTGTATAAAAGCCAAGCAACTGGACAGGATCATTTAGAGCCTATCTAGATGTGGCCACCTATGACCCTTTGTCTGGAAGTACTAGGGACTGAATCCGAGTATTCTACCACTGAGCTACATCTCCACCCCTTTTTATATTTTACCTTGGACAGGATCTCACTAAACTGCAGAGGCTGACCTTAAACTTGGGATCCTCCTCACCTTCCCAAGTAGCTGGAATCAGAAGGTGTGTATTACTTTCCTCCGTGTGGCTTTGTACATTTTAACTGAAGCTTTTGCTTCCATTTAGTATTAAAAATTCATTTCCTCTTTTTCATGAATCACATTTCAAATGCTTAACAGCCACATGTAGCTACTAGCTATTTTACTGGACCGTACTGATACAGAACTTTTCCATCATCACTGATCGAGAGCACAGAATAGGAGAAATCAGAATCGGAGGAAAATTGGGAGGGAAAGGGGAGAGGAAGGAAGAAGACATTCAAGAACTCGCCTGAGGATTACAAAGTTTCATAAAAAATTCTTTGAAAGTCTCAGTCAGATGACTAGCTAATAATTTCTTTTTCTTCTTTCTTTTCTCCATGTGAGTTTAGAGAAGGAATTTAGAAAAATAAAAGCTAGACTTTTCACTGACTTTCAAGTTCAAAATATTTCTCTGTTATCAGTAATTTTTTCAGACTAAGCATTTTTCAAGCTTAGGAGTCAGATTTTTAAAATGTGTTTCAAAGTCACATACAGATATAATTAAGAAATGTTACTCTAAATTTGCCCCTTTTTATTTTTTTAATCAAAAGTAGCTTTTTCCTCTCCACTTAGATATATTGTGACATATTTCTCCCAGTAGCAATGTCAAACCTAATCAACTAAAGAAAGTTTCCTAAAAATTGGTTTTGCCACCAAAGAAATTGAAAACAATAAAAAAGAATGTTTCTTAGGCTTTCTGAATTAAAAAAAAAAAAAAATCCCAAGAGATTTCATCTTAGAAATGAAGTGAGGGGAGAAAACCTAGACAAAACTCAGATATATAAAACTACGTGAAATAAAATGGATAAAACAATAGAATGCTTTAGTTTAGGTTATCTTCCTATTTATGGATTTTAAAAATGAGTTTAGTACAATATTTAAATGTATGTTTTACAAAAGAAAATACATTCACCATTCCTAAACTCATGATAAAAGGGGCTGGGGATTTAGCTCAGTGGCAACAGCGCCTGCCTGGCAAGCACAAGGACATGAGTTCGATTCCCAGTACCAGAAAAAAAAAAATTCATGTGTTCTTTATCAACAGCTTAATAGAACTATGTAAAACAAAAAAGTATACAATATTGAACTTATGGCACATATTCTCTCTGGATATGGTAACATGGTAAGTAATTTAAATGTGAATTGTGAGAGCAAACAAATTGGGTTTTAAGAGACCTGTTACTTACCATGTAAACTGTTATCAATTTCAATATTTTCAGCCATTATGGAATTATTTGTGCTGTAGCTCAAACCAAGAACCATTTGAAGATCTGAGAGGTTCAGTCGTGCTGTTAGTTCACCACTTTTATCCCCAACCTACAACCACAAGTGTTTATACTTTAGAGCAGTATTCAAGATACAGAATGATGAAGATTAGCTGAAAATGTTGTAACTCTAAAACTGGATGACAATATAAGAAAATGAAATAGTTATATCAGAATTAAGAGACGATGAATGAATGAAATGGGTTATTCTCATTAATGGTCAGGTTTTTTTTAAGAACACAGAAAAAAAATTGACTTTCTAAAATATCACGATAGGACAGCTAATTATATTCTTTTAATTCTTCAGTTCTCCAGATATTAGAATGCTCTTATTCTCTGGGGCTGTATTAAATAGTGTAGGTTATCCTGTGACATATCAAGGTGGCATCACATGAACAAATTTTCCTTAAAAATTTTTATTTGTATAACAACAGTTACATTTATTAAACCAGCATTAGATATAATGGAAGGCACTTCTCTATGTATTATCTTTAATCAGAACAACCTGCAAGGTGGATATTATTGTTTTCATCCTTCAGACAAGAAAAACGAGGCTCAGAAAAGGTTTCCATGCTCAAATAGCCAGGAGGGGGTACAGAAGTATAACAGGAACCAGTCCTTGGTTCTCAAAACTGCTGTTCTTTAAGAACCATACTAATTCTCTATGCAGTGACGGAGGTGGAGAGGGGCATATTTTAGCAATGTCCTCCTATTCCCTCAGGCCTGGCCTTACCTTCCAGTCTTCTTTTATCAAGGCCAACATAAGTATATCCCTGATCTACATCTCAAAATATTTTGTGGATGCTAAGAAAACAACATAAAATCAAACATTATTTAGCCATATAGCACAATCTGAAGAAATAATAGGGTTCCTTCCCCCACCACTGATTTGTAAATTACAATAGCACAAGTAACATTTTTTCCATTGCATACCTCTCTTGAAATTTCCAAGTGCTTTTCAGCAAAATGCATTGCTTGATCATGATTTCCTAGAGCTGTGTATGCATTTCCTAAGCTCCAACATGCTCTTCCTTCGCCAATTCTAAAACATAATTCAAAACTAACATGCAGTTATCTGAAAAGAGTTGTACAGAAAATAAAAATGATCTAGCAATTATTAAACGTATAAACAAGCGGTGGTAAGCCTATGGCACTTGTGCTGCAGCAAGCTGTTTGTTATCACTGAAAGCTCAAAAAGGTTCGCCATCACTGATATAAACAATGCTTTGGAATTACTTGGTCTTTTACTTTAAAAACTTACTATCACGATACCAGAGAGAGACTGGGGATATAGCTCAGTGGCACAGGCACCTGCCTGGCAAGAGCAAGGTCCTGAGTTTGATTCCCAGAACCAAAAAACGATACCAGAGAGAGCTATGAAAATTGAGATAACCCTAAACTCAAGAGTCAAATATTAAAACATGAACAACATTGTTGTAAAACAGGCAATGCACTATAAAATAATAAAATCTCGGGGATAGGTCTTCTAATCCAACTGCCCTATTATCTTCCTAGAACAACTTTACCTGGTGATCATTTAGTGTGCATTTGAATACTACGCAGAGAAACCTGTACGACCTCTTGAGGTAGTGTACCTCATCTTGAGCAAGTATACTGGAAAGTTCTTTCTCATGCTGCTGTAACAATCCATCTAAAGTACAACAACAGCCTGGCCTGCACAGATGTGCTGTTTTTTCACATAGCAAGACAACCAAACAAGTGAAGTAGTCACCAACACTTAAAAATCGGGAGATTTCATATATAGCGCAGGACTTGTAGCTGCTCTTGAAAAAACAGGAGGATTTGTTTGTAACAGACCTTGTTTCTGCTTGGCAATAATCAGCTACAGCTGAGTAGCAGCTGCTCCTTGACAGGGACGAGTTCTCCGCTCAGCCTAATTCCCACGCTGACCTAGGCAGGAGCACCTCTGAGGAGACAGCTGAGTTTGCGGCCTATTCACTGATCCTGGCTCAAGGGCATGTGGAACCAGACTGACCCTCTAGCACAGGCCAGCCCTTCAAACAGTAACATACAGCGGGTAGTCACGAAAAGGGAAATTTCTTAAAAAGGAAATAAAAGGCGGGGTCAAAGGAGAAGTGCTTGGGATTTAATAATGCATCTATATTTTACCTCACCTAGAGTTAAAGGATGTACAACTTACCTATCTTTTAACTCTTGTGCAATTGCTAAGTGCTTCAGGTGATAATCAATGGCCTTCTCATAGTCTTGAAGTAAAGTGTACGTGTTTCCAAGACTGTAACAAGACTGAGCTTCTACAGCTCTGTCTTTAAGCTGTCGAGCCAACAGAAGTGTCTTCCTGAAAGAAGAAATTTTCACATGATCATTTTTAATTCGGGCTACAATAATAATAAAAAATAAAAACTGTCATTTATCAGCTGCCTTTCAAATAAATCTGTTTTAGAGTAAAATATCTTTTACTACTACTTTTAAACTGAAAAGTTGTTTTTGAAATACAAAAACCAGATCTAGACTTTCAGAATAAATTTATTCCTAACAATTTACCACAGTACTGGAGTACTGGAACAGGAAAGAGATCAAGGGCTTTGAAAGAATAACAGGATTATAACATTTAAAAACATCTTTCCCTTTCGTATTGACACTAACTTAAAGAAACTTCTACTCCCCTCCCATTTGTTTTCAATCATGCTGTTACCTTTCATCTTGTTAAAATTTAAAACGTGTACATTTTTATGTGTGGCCCATTAGTTACTGATTCTTAAAATACTGAATATTTCATTTAAACATTGACTTGCTTGCTTCAGCAGCACATATGCTAAATACTGATGAAATTCTACCTAACACATATGGTACTGTCAATGAGAAGTTAGTGTAACAGGTGAGAGCGTGGGTTCTGGAGCTACACTGTCTGGGTTCAAATCCCACCTGTGCCAGCTGTGTGACCGAGGGCAAAACACTCAACCTGTGTACTGGCTTGCTCAGATACAGAATGGGAGAAGTACTTCACTAGATTTCTGTAAAGATGAAATGAATTCATACATATATGAATGTCTACTTATAGATATATAAGTACTCAGAATACCATCTTGAGCAGAGCAGATGCTATATAATATTCATGCTAGTTTATGAGTGCTTAAACCTACACATGCTTTTGAATCCAATAATTTAAGTGATTTTTTTCTATAATCTCTGCCAAGTTATATAATTACTTCATATCATTTATATCTATATGAAAAATTACATGGTAATACGATAGGTCTTTTCAAGAAAACACATCTAAAATTATGTGTTTAATGATGATACCTTCAAAGCTGTCACCGTGGGAGGCTATGCACTTCTTCTAATGTTGCCTGTCCTCCCAAACATTTTTTGAGACTTTTGGAATTTCCTTCAGATTCTGTGGCACAACCCTTTCTGGCACACTGTTACACTCAGATTGTACAGTTCTTTTATAAGTTGTCAGAAATCTTTCTGTCACCAAATCAAGTTACTGATGTAAGTTTGCCAAAGAACTGTTTTGTACCCTAAAGGATGTGGGTCTAAAATGTTACTCCAGTCTTCTTGTGTAGGCCTGAAAGCAATTCCTAGGGAGAGCTCCAGAAGTATTACTAACCAGTATTTTTGGGACACATGTAAATTCTGAGTCCTAGCCTGCTTACTGGGGGAAAACAAGATACACTTCACCATACTCATGCTTTTTCAGTCAAACAGTCACCACCCACTTTGTAACAGAATTTTTCAGTATTTAATACTGGTACACCACTTAATAAGAATTTTCTATAACCTTTGGCTTTAAAATATATGAAACTTTTGTATTTACGCCAGTCTTCTTGTGTAGGCCTGAAAACAATTCCTGGGGAGAGTTCCGAAAGTCTTACTAACCAGTATTTTTGGGATACATTAAATTCTGAGTCCTAGCCTGCTTACTGGGGGAAAACAAGACACGCTTCCCTATACTCATGCTTTTTCAGTCCAACAGTCACCACCCACTTTGTAACAGAATGTGATAATATTTAGGAACAACAATACTGACTGAGCAGTGTGTGCCAGGTATGACGGTAACTGCTCAGTATATCCTTTCATTCAGTCTTCACGACAATCCCCAAAGGTACTGCTGTCTTCTCTCCCAGGCGAGGAAGCCACGGCTTAGAAGTCCAGGGTGCTGCTGCTAGTATGCTTCAAAACCCAGGTTTAACCCTAAAGCCTGTGACCTGGTGGGAATATGTAACTACTCGTTCTACATTTATATACAGAAACATTAGACTAACTTGTAGTATTCAGAAGCAGTCTCAAATTCACCCAGAAATATATACGCATTGCCAAGGTTGCTATACGCTCTTCTTTCAGCCGCCTTATCTCCAAATTCTTTTGCAATAAGGAGCCGCTGGAACAGAAACATTCCATTAGCACAGCCCATAATAACATCGTAGGGTAATGTAATCACTGTTCAGAACGGTAACCGAGGAACTGATCTGGCTCGAAGGCCTGCCACTTGTACCTGCTCATGAGCTATAACTGCGTCCCTGAAATTGCCCAGAAGGTAATGTGTGTTGCCAAGATTTCCAAAGGCGCGTCCTTGGGCTGCTCGGTCTCCCAAAGCAGTTACTAATGACAGATTTTCCCTAAGTGAAACAAAAAATGGTGAAAAACAGTTTGGCAAAAAGTTTTTATGTGATTTATGGATTTTTTTTTTCTTTTCGGTGCTTGGGATTAAACCAGAGCTTTGTAGATACCAGACAAGCACTCTACCACTGAGCCACTCTAAACAAAGATCTAATTCTTTATATCAGAAAAACAATTCAAGCACTTATGCCAGTAACGTGTAACGTTTTTATGGTAAATCTGTGATGCAGGGTGGTTATAGGACACCGTCAAGAGTATTTGTCTGAACCGTTCAGGTAGGTTTCTGTGCAGTCAAAGACAGTTCATCTCGGAGCCCCTACTGTTTAAAAGCTTTCTGCCATTCTATTGGGCAGAGACAGTTTACTCCCCATAAACTAGACAACCACTGCTATTTCTGGTTTTTGCCACTAAGGGGCACTGGTCTGCAGTTTAAATGAAAACTGCAGATTGCTACCAGTGCAACACTGTAACTTTTAAGGAACTGATTTGATAGGTTATTTTTGTTACTCCTTAATTTAAAACCTTTCACGCATTTAAAAACTTACTACTGGGTAAAGGATATACATTGGCCCATAGTTTAGGTGGGCCCATGTGACAATATCAGCCTTACTCATAAAAATCCACGGCGGCCTGCAGAGCATTTCTCACTTCTTCTGGAAATTCTTCAACATCCTGGGTACCAGGGCAGCCAAAACTTTTCCCTTTGGCGTGATACACATTTCCAAGATTGTAAAGTGCTCTTGCTTCTCCCACCTAAGGAAGATATCAGCAAAGTTTGCACTGTGCAATCAGAGGCTAGGTATTTACACTGCTGTCTGTCTTTTTTCTCCCTCCTTCCTTCCGTCTCTCACCCACAAATATATAATATCTTTGATATTACTATCATCAAGAGAAAGGTCTTTATTTTTGCAGTGTTAGATATTGAACCCAGGGCTACATCCTCAACCCTCTGTATTTTTAGACAGGCTCTGGCTAAGTTGCTAAGGTGCCCAGATGGGAGTTGACTTGTGGTCCTCCTGCCTCAGCCTCCCAGAGTGCTGGGATTACAGGCCTGTGTCACCATGCCCAGCTCAGGCGAGAGAAATTTCTACAATGGGCCATCCGTATAGAAGTAAACAAATCATTATTTGTGAAAGAAGGATCGCTCTTATTTTTTCTCTATTTTAAATTTATTATGTTTTATCTTTTACTACTTGTGTATGAACAATCTCTTTTTTAGATAAACTACAGAATGAATACAGTAGTACAAAGCAATTTCATTGAAATATCTGGCATTTGGACTACCATCTAATGTTTCCTCATCACCTTGTCATTAAGCTGTCTGGAAATATCTAGGTGTCGCTGACAACAAACTACGGCTTCGTCAAAATTCCCAAGAACTTTTAAGGTGTTTCCCAGATTGCCGCTAGCTTTGGCTTCTCCCAGCTGGTCTCCAATAGTCCTGGAGGGGAAGAAGGCAAATGGTATTAAAAATATAAACGGCATTAAAATATAAAGCAGCCACAGTAACGTTCTCCCAGAGGACAACTGACATGCTTGAAGAAAGACCCGTTAGCCTTGAAATATACTTTAAATAAAAATATGAAACAACATTTGTGTATTTAAGTTAATTTTCATTTAATTAAACTCTACAGAGTCATTTCAGCACTGTTCATTCAGTTAAGCTGTGTTTAGCCTAAAGATTCGTTTTCAAAGCAATGCTATTGTTAGAACTCACTGAATATATCTAGTTTTCTTAACTGAATGAAGTACTTTTTAAAATAAGTTAGTTTAGGGAGGAGGAAGAATATTGAAAAGTTTACATTAATTACCTTGCAAGAGTTAAATCGTGATGGTGGTATTCTAACGCTTTGGCATAATCATGTAAATAGAAATAAGCATTGCCCAGCTGGCTGTAAATAGCGCTAAGTGTTTTTAGATCTTCAGTTCCAACTTGAACTGCTGCTTCAAAAAATGACACACCAGCACGGCAGTCTCCTGATTTACACAGTCGTTCCCCTTCCAAGGCCAGCTCTAGGCAAGAAGCTTCCATTCTACAAAATTATACAGGACAGACATTTACAACACAGCATTATGACTAATCACAGTGTCTTTAACTTCCTGTAATATACTTTAAGTGTGAACTGCGCGGCTACTTTTGCTCAGACCAAGGCCTTTCTAACTGAAGTATACATATACATTATTGATAAAATACCGAACGGTTATTTGTAGCAAGAGCTAATTTGTCTATTCAAACTTCTCACAGCCTCAGAGGCCTGCTGGACAGGATGGCTAGATGTGTTCATGTGGGGCTCACCTTGAGCAGTTCACTTCAGCAGAGCAATGATGACCGGTGTTTTCTAACCCACTGAGTGTGGCAGACCTGCAGACCCCCTGAGGGCTGGGGAGAACAAGGAGTACCAAGGCAGGGGAGCACTACCCTCCACGCAGGCATCCAGGTGACCTACTGACCTGTCCCCCCACCCCTCCCACTGGCCACCCACCCACCCTCTCCTTTCTCTAGTACTCCATAAAAGAGCAGAATATTTTGATCTAAAAAGCACATTTATAAGACCACTAAGTGTCAAGAAACTCAAAGATAATACAGACATTCTAATTCTCAAATCTGTCCCTTCACCTGAAAAAACTTTAAGAATTGACTCACTGAAAATATATTTGGGAGAAAAAGCAGAGACTTCAGCCCCTCACCCTAACGCTGAGAGGGTCCCTTCACCAAGTGGCCCTGTGTTTCTTCATGACTTCTGCCGTATCTGTGCGCTATCTATTCAGGTAACATGCCCATGACTTAGCAAATTTTCTTTAAATTGGCACATTATCTTTACTTTGTCATTAAAAAAGTCTTCGTCGACTGTGTGAGAATCTGTTATATTTATTTTCTTATGCACATTCAACAAATGTAACCGTTAAAATTTAAAAGCTGAATTATCCTCTGGCTAGTGGTATACATTTCATTCTTTGAAAATTCTGATTCAGCTCATCAAACTTACGTTTTGGGAACAGCATCCAACGCTCCTCACTAGAATTGCCCTTGAGCCACTCTACTAGAACCACGGTTCGTAATTCTGGCTGCACAACAGCAGAGCTTGCATGGAGCGCTAAACTCTCAGTGTTGGGGCCTACGTTTGGGGTGAGGTCTGTCTATCTGTATTTCCTGAAGACTCCAGGAAATTCTAATGTACAAGCTGGGATGAGAATCAGTTTTAAATAGGAAATGTGAATTAAACTACCACACACCCTACTGTCATTCAAATACGACTGTACGTTTGTATCTGGTAGCAAGTCAATGAATATGTTTCTTCAGGTACTTTCGGTTTATAAATCTTTTTAGATGCATAAATTAAATGGGATTGCAAAAGTAGAAAATAAATCCGATGAAGTGCAAAGAAAAGTATGGACTAAGACAAACAGAGCCAAATACAAAGATTCAAAGAAGACTCCTGGTTCAGAAGAAGCAGATTAATAGGTAGTTTTCCTGTTTTATATCCAAGCTTTGTTTTGGTGTGGTACTAGGGATTAAACCCAAAGCCTCTGCACTGACCTGCATCATTACTTTTAAAAATTAATTAATTGATTTTCTTGAGACAGTGTCTTGTTATGTAGTTCAGCCTGGCTCAAACTCACGGCATTCCTCCTGCCTCAGCCTTCTGAGTGCTGCGGCTACAGGCATGCCCCAACCTGGCCGGCTCCCATTCTTTATTCTTTACTTTCAGATAGGATCTTGCTAAACTGCTATTTCCCAGGCTGGGCTTGGATCTGTGATCCTGCTGTCTAGGCCTTCCAGAGTGCTAAGAGAGGCCTGGGCTACCAGGCCAGGTTTCTCTTTCCTTTCTTTTTCCTTTTAACAATTCAACCGAGTGAGTCAGTGGCCACCACACATTCATAGACTGGTGATTTCACTTTCACTTCACAAGGACCTGTGTAGAATAATACAAGCAAGCCTCCACTTAACTTCTGCTTTAGCGTTTGATGAAGCCAATTAGACAGGAGATCTAAAGATAAATCTGTAAATTGGAAATCTTAAATCTTTTAACCTGCTCCTCCAAAGTATATAAATAGAACATACACAGACTGATGCTCTTGCTTCAGCACTCTTGCAACTAGCTGTTTGTCTAGGGGAAAGACGACTATTGTTAGCATGTCTGCAGGGGAGAGTAGCACTGGTAAGCCGGTACATTCCTTCTGTAACACTGGAAAAATCTTTTCATGTTAAACGAGAGACTCTCCAACCACACACACAAAAATGAAACCTTAAACCTTAAAAAAAAACATTCACATTCCCTTCATGTCAGTTCACAATAAAGCCTATTTTTGTCTTTCACAAGTGTAAACTGTTCATTCACAAGTGAAAACTACCCTTATTTAAAAGTATTTTGTTTTATTTTGTTTTTTGAGACAGGGTCTCACTCTATAGTCCAGGCTGGCCTTTAACTCACTGTGTAGCCCAGGCTGGCCTTGATCTTGTAGCGATCCTCCTGACTCAGTCTCTTGAGTGCTGGGGTTACAGGCGTGCACCACCACACTCTGCTCAAAGTATTTCTGAATATAAGGAATTTATTAAAAGGAATTATAAGAAAAAGAAATTATGAGTATTTTATGATTGTCTGAGGTTACTGGAATATTCTTTGCATAGAGAAAAATAAACCAGCGAAACATCTACTATGGCCAGGCGTGGTGGTACATGCCTGTAATCCCAGCACTCAGGAGGCTGAGGCAGGAGAATCATTGTGAGTTTAAGGCCAGCCTGGGCTACAAAGTGAGCTCAAGGCCAGCCTGAACTGCATAACAAGACCTTGTCTCAAAAAAGCCAAAAAAGAAAAAAAAAAAAACAAAGAAACCAAAACCCTGCTATGTAAAAAAGTGATGTTTATTAAAAAAATTTTTTTCCAAATAAGATAATCTGAACCAGCTGTCTTTATTTGTCTAATGAAACCACTGAAGTTCTAAGAACAGTCACAGGAAAAATGGGAAAAGCTAGTTCAATATATAAAATATTTTTCTTATTAAAAAATTTACTCTAAGCATTCTAATCATATAAAAATTATATATCCAATATTTTCACTGCTAGGAATATATCTTAAGGGTATATTTACACCAATTCAAAAGACATACAGTATCTGAACAAGTGTTTATAGCAGCAAAGAACTACAAGTAACATAACATTCATCAATATAGTAATGATTTTAAAAACTACAGGCTGCGATGCGTGGCGCATGACTTTGCCAGGGCAAGCAAGGGATCCCTGCACACAGCGGCTCCCTCAGTTCAGGACGACTGGGCTGCTGGCCAGGAAGCTGCAGATGAAGCAGAGTGGCTACTCATACACTGCACATGGCATCTGTATGTATAAATTAGAAGTTTAAAGCACTTGTCTGTATCCATAAAAGGGCTGGGGATATAGCTCAGTGGCACAAGAGCCTGCCTGGCAAGCACGAGGTCATGATTTCAATTCCCAGTACCAAAAAGGAAAAAAAAAAAACCATTTAATGTATCCGTATAAGGCAGAAAAATGTCTTCTTCAAAAAAAGTATCTTTAAGCCCGGCATGGTGGCGCACACCTGTAATCCCAGCACTCAGGAGGCTGAGGCAGGAAGATCCCACAAGTCTGAGGCCAGCCTGGGCTACATAGTGAGTTCAAGACCTGAATGACATAGTGAGACCCTGTCTCAAAAAAGCCAAACAAAAACCAAGCTCAAACAAACAAACAAAAAAAATCAAGTAAGTACCTTTACCACAAATACCTGACTTTTGGAATTTAATACATTATACTGGAACCATCAATCCAAATGATGTGATGGCTAAGCTGTGTTGATAAGTGGTTTCGTAAGAGTTACACATTTAGAAAAAAGCATTTCACAGAACTGTCATTAGAGACAATGAGAGCGAACCAGAAAGCTGCTGGCTACACACTGTCCGCCAAGTCCAAAGCAGCAGGACTGTCCGGAACAAAACACCTGGGGAAAGTTACGCCAGTAACTAGTACTTGAAATAAAGTCCAAACTCCCTACCTTATTATTAATTCTGACATATATCATGATTCTATATTTTATTAGAAAAGAAGTTAATATTCTGGCAAAATACCAACATCTTAATCAAATGCATATAACTGTAAAATAGGGCAGGTTAGTTTATAAATTTTTTAGAAGGTCATTAAATAGTAACAGAGAGAGTAATTTCATATCCTCTCTGCTGCTACGGGAGAATAGAATTACTTCATTTGTTTACCAGTTGGCTTGAAAACAAAGAAGGTATAGAAGACAAGCCAGGAAAATACTTCTCCACTAGAATACATCCCACACACAAAGTTTCTTCTGTTCTTCTGTGCGGTCTGTCTTATCTGACTGTACAATCAAAGCAACTGTATTACTAATAACTATAAATAAACATTACTATCTTTGACTGAAAAGTTTTCATTTTTGCTAAAAATGGATTGGACATCTTAGGCATAGTTGTTTTGTTTTTGAAACAGGGTCTCACTGTGTAGGTCAGGCTAGCTTTGAACTCACTACGTAGCCAGGCTAGACTTGAACTTGCGGTGATCCTCCTGCCTCAGCCTCCCAAGTGCTGGGATTACAGGAGTGTGCAACTATACCCTTCTAGGTATAATTTTTTTTTTGCACAAAAAATTTATTTAAAATTTCTTTTATCATTTTTTTAAACTTCCACACTAGAGTTTGACCTCTACAATCTTCTTTGTCTCTTTAATTTTGGTTTCTTGTGTTTACAAGTATCAGTAAGTATCTAAGATGTTCTAGTTCATCTTGTAAAAGAAAAAGTAGCACCAAGTTATCTAGATTTAATTTCTATGTGGTAACTCAGTTTTAAAAGTGACTTTAACATATTAAACTTAATTCTAAAGTTCTAGCTCTAAGACAGGTATCACTATATAGAAGAGAGACTGATGCTCAGACCAGTTAAGTGACCTACTTACAGTCAGGAGACGATAAAGCCGAGAAGTGAAATTTCATTTTTGTTTCCAAACCCAGTGCTCTCTCTACCACTCCATATTACCTCAAACTATGCTTCAGGAAAGAGTACTATTAACTACTGCATTTACCTAGCAAAATTACAAAATTCAATTCCAAAACTGTATTTCTTTACAACTTACTGCAACAGTCCTAGTTTTACACTACTAACGTATTGAAAGGTTTATTCTTCATGGCAACAACGATGAATAGGGACATATACCAACACAAAACCAGAGACACTAGTGTAATGACCACAATGTGTCCATCTTGCAACTTCAGCAACTCCCAATATAGGTACTATCAGTATGTACCTCATCTCTACTCTCAAGTACATTCTGGACAGCATATGATTTCATATATAAACATCTTAGTATAGGGCCAGGCACATAGCTCAGTAGCACAAGGGCCTGCCTGGCAAGCATAAGGTCCTGAGTTCAATTCCTAATACCAAAAAACCCGACAAATAAATAAATAAAAATAAATAAATATCTTAGTATATACCTCTAAAAGATGAGTCTTTTTAAAAAAATAATACCATTTTCATACCTAAAAACTTCTTACTTCTTTATATCAAACATATAATACTTTAAAGGTTGACAAACTAACTCCATTTTGTTATCAATATCCATTTTCCCAAAAAGGTAAAACTATTTCATATAGCATTCTGATGTCCCTTAGGAAATTTCTTAGGTTTTTTTTCTGTCTTTTTGAGACTGGGTTTTGCTACGCACTTCAGGCTGGCCTTGAGCTCACTTTGTAGCCCAGGCTGGCCTTGAATTCACAGCGATCCTCCTGCCGCAGCCTCCCAAGTGCTGGGATTACAGGTGTGAGCCACCACTTCTGCTAGGAAATTTCTTAGCGTCCAAGGAACTACTCCGTTTCAAAATTACAAACTCATTATACTTGGAAACTCCTCCGAGCTAGCCAAAGATGTCTGGCATGAAACAATCAAATGGATAAAACACTACATGCTAAATACTTATTATAGTAAACCTAACATAAAAGATTCAAATCATTACCCACAATTACACAGCAATCCAAGAGAATCTAGAATGCTAGATCTTATTGTACTGATGAAGCCAGGGATTAGTTCAGTATGCTCTTATAAAAGGTTACAAATTTTTAAGTTTCCACTTGATGAAGGCCTATAGCAATGTTTGACCTGTGCTGTCTCGCGGAGAAAAAACAAATCTTCGATCATCCCACAGGCAGTGGTCCAATCTTGCTCCTTATCTACTGCTCTTACAGTGACGCATGCTGCTCTCTAGGATGTTCTGCAGGACGGATAAACATCGTAATGGTTCATACCATGGTTATACCCAATGAAACCCAATGGACACGTGTACCAGCCAACATGCTAAGCATCAAGGCAGCCCGAAGGAGCTAGCAGTCCGAAGGAGAAGTGAGGCGGCAAAAACAGCCATAAAAACAGATTCGCTGAATTTTAACATGGTGCGAAAACAGAAATACGCACCGGTCATAATGTGAGTATACACAGGGCATACTCCAACTACAGAGTTTACAGACGATTTCCGGGAGAAAGTGACAGGGAGGGGAATTCTGGTCCTAACATGTAGCATGAGCGAAAGCACTGAGACACACAACAGTGTAATGAGCAAGGAAACAACGGCGGGAAGTAACGTCCACGGGAGAGGCAGAAGCCAGATGTGAAGGAGCTGTGCACGGTGTTAACTTTGGCTCTGCTACATACGGGCCATCTTAGGCTTTCAGCAGAGAGGTTGCACGGTTAGTGCTTTGTTTTTAGACTGATGCCCTCTAGTAGCAAAAAACGTGGACTGTAAGAGGCAAGAACGGACAGGGTGAGGAGCCTGGAGGAAAGACCCTGGGACCTGAGCCACAGCAGTGGTGGCGGGGACGCAGACGAATCTGAGACACAGGAGGCTGAAGTGGCACATCTGCACGCTGGCAAAAGAGGCAGAGGAAAATATACGTAACTTTCAGACTTCTGGAAACACGGTCCAATGGGTGGGCTGAGGGCATTTAGTATTAAAAGCTCATCTTGTGTTGAAAGTCTTCCTTCATTTGAAACTTCGTTTTTAATACAAATGTTCTTACCTCAACCTGTATAAACTTCCTTGGCACCGTGCTCTAACATAAACATCTATTTCACAGGATGATGAACCTCCTCATTACTGCCTAAACATATATGTTAAGACATCTGAGATTTAGTAGCAAACAGTTTCACTCAGATTTTTTTTTTTTGGTCATTTTGAGACAGGGTCTCGCTATGCAGTTCAGGCTGACCTTGAGTTCCCTTTGTAGCCCAGGCTGGCCTCAAATTCGCAATGATCCTCCTGCCTCAGCCTCCCAAGGGCTGGGATTACAGGCGTGTGCCACCATGCCTGGCCTCACTCAGATTTTAAATGCACACTATTGCTTCAAAATTCTGGTGTCTATATCATTAACTTAAAGCAGTTTTGACAAAGAACTTACTATTATCTGATCATTTTACTAAATAATTGATTGTTTTTATTTTATGGTTTGAGCAATGACCAGAACTTCTAGAATAAATATTAAACAATGATGACAGTACAGATATGCTTGTTTTGTTCCTGTTATATCAGAAATGTCATTAATATTTTCTCACTAAATATCTGTCATGTTTAAGTGGCTCACTTACGAAAGATCACCACTTAAAAATCAGAACACAAAGTTAGGTCCTCAGCTGACCACATAAAAAATTCATCATCAAAAAAAAAAAAAAAAATTCATCATTTACCCCCAAAAGATAGTCTATTTTTATATGTGCATTACATGAAAGTTATAAAAGATGAAGTAATTATTCATAAACTTTTCCAGAGAACATTAACAAATCATTTTCCTATAGAATGGATATAAAAACTTGCAACGGAGAAAATACTGCTTACAGAACATACTAACTAACGATAGCTGGTATATCTTGAATTATTTCCAAACTGAAAACTGAAACGGGCAGAGTTTAAGTACGGACTAAAAGTAATCCACTAATAAAGCAATGGTCTTACCTGTAACGAACATGAAAAGAATGGTCTTCCCTCATGCTTATTAAGTTTTCCTCCATCGAGGCATATTATAAGCTGAGTGAAATATCACAGTATCTTATTTTGTGCCAATCCAGTTCTTTACAATGTAGAATTGGTTGCAGAACACTGTCCGGTTAGTACATTAATGAACTGGTGTTAATACATCCTAAGCTCCTGCTTCTTCTTTATTAATAATGAAAGGAGGTCAATGTCAGACAGCTTAAAGGTTCAAAATGTATCCCAGATCCTTGCATCTCTGGCCCTTTCAGCGGTGCTTCAGCAACATTTCTGCAAAAGGAACACAAGATGCTTGGCTTGAAGTCCTATTTTTGAAGAGTAACCTAAAGTAACCCTGAGCGGCACATAATCACACAGCTAACTCCACACACGGCTGTCACGTCACTCACTACAGCAAACTGCGGAACGCTTAAGTGTCATCCTGGGGATTATAAATAATAGGCATGTGAACGGAAGAGATTTGAGAATTGCCCTTTAATTTTTTACAATGATTTAAATGCAACAATTTATGTAATATTCTATTACAGAGTGTGTATCCTTTTAGTACTTAAAAATTATGATGCTTTGAACTCTTTAAAATTGCTTTGATAAATCAAAAGAAAAAATACTTAAGTTCATTGTAAATTCTGTAAATTTGTTTCTTCAAAGATACACTGATGATTAAGTTACATGTATATTCACTTGCTCTCAAGTAAGTTTTATTTAAGCCCTTTAAAATGTTATTTATATCGAATGAGTGCAAAAGAATGATGCAACAAACATGGACTTAACACCACCCACCGTAAGACAGAGCAGTACCCCCGCCTGGGTGTCTCCGTGGTGCCCCAACTTACTTCTTTCCTCTCTCATGCGACCCCTAAAGTAAATTTTGCTATCGTTCCACTGCTCATCTTTACAACTTCTCCGTAAGTAGGCCCTGAATAATGTATTATTTAGTTTTGTGTAGTTTTCTTAACCTTGTTTCTTTTCTTTTTTTTTTTTTTATTTTACAGAGAATAAAAAAAATAAAAACTATACAGAATTTCCAAACAAGATGATAGGAAATTAACAGTGGTTATTATATTGCATAGTTATCTTCAAAGTAGTTGCTCAGAGTATCAGATGTAAGAGTGATCAAACCATATAAACCTTATGTTTCTGAGATGCGTCTCAATTATTGTCTACAATTTGCATAATTTTATTGCTATATTCTACTCCATACTTCTCATTCTACTATTGATGGGCATTTGAATTTCTTTTTCTTTTCTGTTATTATTAAATGTACCACTATGGGGGCTGGGGATTTAGCTCAGCGGCACAGCGCCTGCCTGGCAAGCGCAAGATCGTGAGTTCAATTCCTGGTACCGGAAGAAAAACAAAAAACAAAAAAACAACAAAATAAATGTACCACTATGAACACTGATATTAATAATCTAATGTACTAGTTAGGCAGCAGAACAGATACAAAGAGAATGACAAACATAAAAAGTGAAAAATATTGAACAGCAGTTGAAAGAAAAGGAGAAAAAATGAGAAGCTCTAACATAAATCTAACAGGAGCACTAGCAAGAGGAGCAAAGGGCAGTAAAGGCAGATCTTCATGAGTAAAGACAGAACTTTGCAGAATTAAAGACATGAATCAGCACACTAAAGCAGCACATCGAGTCCTAAAAGCGAATCTGTGATCGGTAGCTGGAATCTAGGTGATAGGTAGCTGGAATCGAGGCCATCTTACTATGAAGATTGTTTTGCTTATTGTATATTTGTGTATGTAGTATAACTATTTTGTACAGCAGAGGATTGTAACTACTATTTAGGCTGTGCAGATTTGAAATTTACCTGTTTCACTGGCTGTTTGAAGAGGTGTGGATTGTCTTTTATATAGAGATCTACATGAAAACTGCTAATACAAACCACACCTAAAGAAATTTTAAGAATTTGGCAGTCAGTCATTTGGTGTAATCTGAAATGTAGCTGCTGAATACCTAAAGTAAATCCCTGTTCTCTGAAGTTTTTTGATTGAGCTGGTTGAATACTTTGAAAAGCGATCAATTCTAACTAATGAACTGATTTCCCAGTAGGATTCTGCATATTACCTGTATAGTAGTTATATGGACATGTTTCTGTGCATGTTTGCTACACAGCTGTAAGGTGTCCCTGTATTTAACTGTTGTACCTGTCAACTTTCAATAAAGCATATATAAAATGTTGATAAAAACAAGTGAATCTATGCTCAGATATATCACAGCACATCAGATATACACTACAACCTTTAAGGTAGCAGTTAAAAGGACAAATAGGAACCTGGCAGTGTTGTAATCCCATCACTCTGAGAGGCTGAAGCAGGAAGATTCCAATTTCAAGTCCTGCCTGTGTGACCCTGTCTCAGAATTTTAAAATACAGACATTCCTTGTTTAACAACCTGTTTAACGACTTCCAGACTTATGACAGAGAGGTGCACTGTTTAGACTTAGGACCTACTGCTTGGACTTATGATCTGTCTTTTTTTTGTACAGTTCAGTAAATATTGTTTATACAGCCACAGTGTTTTTTTGTACAGTGCACCTTGTTTATACGGTACTAAAATTTTTGCGGGGTACACTGCATAGTACAGTACTGTAGTTTTATGTTGTTATACATTACGGTACTGCATGTCAAGGTTATGCAAATAAAAGCAAAGTCTTAACACTGGAGTTTCTTTTGACCATTTCTTTGTTCTGAATATAGTAATGTACATACTCTATATACTTCCCCACTTTGTGACCAACTCAGTTAGTGACCTAGTCACAGGACGGTCACTTAGTTGTTAAATGAGGAATAGCTGTAAAAGAGGCTGGGGATATAGCTCCATGCAGAGCATGTGGGGTTTGATTCCCACTGGCGGGGAGCGGGGGAGCGAGAGGGGGAGAGAGAGAGAGAGAGAGGAAGAGGTGGAGAGAGAGAGAGAGAGGGAGAGAGAGAGAGAGGGAGAGAGACCTGGAATATCAGTGTTATAAACAACACTTACAGGCCAGGCCAATTAATCCAACATTTTACTACTCCATTTCTGGAAGGTCTTAAAACAGCTAATGCTAATTTTAAATAGTCCTATTAGAAAGTTCGTTCATACTTTGAGCATTTTCTCCACTTCCACCTATTGGTCCTGGTTCTTCCTTCTGCTGCCATATATAATAAAGCCCAATTCTTCTTCAGCATAACACTTTTAAGCACCTCAGCTATAACATAAACCAGTCTGTACAAAACTATCCACTGCTTTGTTAATTAAGCACAGTTTGAAAGAGGAACAGCAAAGTAAGGTGAGAGGGAGGAAGGCAGCGAGCCTGGCCTGGGTACACTGATAAAGGTCTCTAGAGGAAATGAAGTTTCCATATTAACCAGTCTGGCATGTAAAAAAACCCACAAAATACTACTCTTCCTATTTCTTCTCTTGCCCAACAAAGGAAGCAATAACTTAAGATAGGTCACAGCTATTAATCTAACAAGTCTCTTTTCCTTTTGTTCACAATTCACCTGTGCCTCTTTCTTAATTAAAAAAAAAAAACAAAAACACCACAAAAGGAGTCAGTATGGATGTTTTGTTTTTCGTTTTTTTTTTTTCTGGTACCGGGAATCGAACTCACGACCTTGCGCTTGCCAGGCAGGCGCTGTGCCGCTGAGCTAAATCCCCAGCCCCGAGTCAGTACGGATGTTCAGGACAACAGCTCCCAAGTGCACTTGGATAACACAGCAGCTAACATGGCAAATAAGCTGTCAATTATTATTCACTAGGAGGTTTCAGTTTGATGTTTGTAAAACAGGACAAAAGGAATGGTATCAAGGTTTATTTACCTTGAAATTAAACTGTAAGTAATTTAAATATTTTCTCATCTATCAGGTTATAATGAAATTCCAAAATTTACCAATATTTAAAATGTTAATTTCATATTAAAGTGTAAGTATTATAAATGAAGTTGCAAAGTACCTTACTTTATGACAACTATGTAGACAGCCACTTTTAAAATAATTAAAACCATCAAGGAGACAATGCTATTCAGTATTTTATGAGGAATTTTTTATTATTCTCAAAAGAAAGTATCTAAAAGTCACATTACAATTTTCATAACAATGACACAGCATTTATGCACCGCCCCCACAGATGATCCCAATGAAGGCTGCCTATGTATTAGGCAAGTGCTCTACCAGTGAGCTACACTACATTCACAACCCGGTAGCATTTTGTATTTGAAAATTTTATTTACTGCTGGGCATGGTGGCACACGCCTGTAACCCCAGCACTCGGGAGTCTGAGGCAGGAGGATCCTTGTGAGTTCAAGACCAGCCTGGGCTACACAGTGAGCTCAAGGCCAACCTGAACTGCACAGCGAGACCCTGTCTCAAAAAGACAAAAATAAGTAAATAAATAAATAAAATTTTATTTACTGAACAAACAAGCAATTCTTGACTCATGATTCACTTTGCAAGAACTCCTAACCAATTTAGTAACAATGTGTTCACTCGTGTTCCACATTACCTCTAGTTAACAAACCCACTTCATATTTACTTTTCTGTTTGTTTTGTTGGTACCGGGAATCAAACTCAGGGCCTTGTGTGTGCCAGGCAGGCGCTATGCCACTGCCCCCCGCTTCATATTTAACACTATATATATGCATATGGACATATTAACGTCTATACCTATAAACATATATGTAAATGTACTATATATAATGTAACACTAGTAACACCTGCAAGTATTAAATTACAAATTTGTTCATTAGGATAAGAATATGTAAGGAACTGGAAATAGGAATTACAGATTTGAAAGATTAAGTGATCAAGTTTTAACCTTCTAACCTCTACTACCACTCACAGCCAATAATCTTCAAGAAACACATTCATCCCTTAGTAGTGCCTTCCCAAAATGGTCCCAAAACCTCACTACTAAGTGCTAGCACCATCCTTTGGTCTGACTAGACAGGATACAGTGACTCTGGATTCAATCCCTAGTAGCAAAGAGAGAGAGAGATCATTTCTTCCATATCACAGGAACTGACAGAAGCACAAAGAAAAATCTACGAGTATTAGTACATAACTTTTTGCTTCACATTTAAGTGTCTGATTACACGGTCAAAATGAGGAAACTTCCTTCATTCAGCAAGCTGGATTGCTTGGCTCTACTTACGCCACTGTCAGTAAAAAGCTTGCAAACTAAGTGACAGGAAAAAATGGAGCGCAGATGGTTACACTTACAGCTTTGTGCTTCTTCCAATCTATCTGTTCCTGGCTGCAAGAACTTTTGGTCTGTTTTCATTCG